GATGCTGCTTGGCCTGCTGTGTTCATCCAGCCCTGCACCTTGTTGTCAGGGATGAGCACCCCACTGATTCAAGCCATAGGGGTCCACTGCCTCTGCTTCTCCATTCTACAGAATGGCTCAGTATTGGTAAAGCATTGTCATCTGTGATAGATTGTATTTTTCCTCTCTGCCTAGTTAAATAATGGATTGTATCCAAACTGCTGCTTAACAAACTCAACTTCAGATCATTTATTAACTATCTGAAAAACCATTAATTGTGGCTTGAAAGCTGAGAAGTGACAGTGCTGCAGAAGACCCAGGTGGACTATCTGGGCTAACTGAGTGCTAAATGCCACTTGAAGAGAAATGTTCTCTTTTTTTCTGGAAGGCAAGGTAATTTGTGTTACACAATCATGGGAAGTTAGCTGTAGGAGCTCCTCCGACTAGAGATCAGGAGTTAACCTCTGCGACAATATCCTGATGGATCTGCAAAGTTGTGCAAAGATCCAATGTAAATAAAGCTTGCATTTTTCCATTAATGTCTATGAGCATTTGTTACCAATTGTTAGAGTTTTGGAGGTTAATGTTCATTGTTACCTAGTATAGGCAGTCAAGCATTTGTAATTTAAATGTTGGCACTAGTTCAAGTAAGTCTGTACTACTTAAAGAGGATGTGCATTCTGCTTGGAGCAAGTGCTGCAAATCATTCTGCCACTGCTTATGACATGGGGAAGACACAACAGTGGCAGAGAGCGTATTACACGATTTTCTGATGCTGCACTACAAACTTTGGAATTAAAATATAATCTATTCACAGGGAACTAGGAGATTCTCCGAATAAACTTTTCAAGGGCAGTAGAACCAGATTTCTGAGGTGCTCAAGGCCATTTGTCTAGCTGAGACCTGAATGCAGAGCTAAAGAGATTCAAAGACCTCATGCTCCTGGTTTTTCTTCTCTGTTTCAAATAGTTTCCAGATGATCAGATTGCTTACCATCCATTCAATGACTTTCTCCATGGGCCAAAAGATTAACCTCCATCTGTGTGTTTCTAGATTTCTTTGCTCACACATTCAGTTAAATTAAATGAGTTTATATCTCTGCTAAAATAGCAAACATATGTATATCCTGTGATTGAGTTAAGTATGTGTTCTGTATGATTGCTGGCTTTAGTTTCTGATACAAAATGTTTCAATTTTTACTTAATTATTGGTTAATGCATTTACATTTTAACCTAAATCAGATACCATAACCTGAATAAGCATCAAACCAAATGTTTTTTTCTTGTCATTGCATATCCTTATAGCCTGTTACCCCTCCTGTGGTAAAGAAGTTTTTGAATACTAGCAGTCCCAAACCTGGTAAAGCCACAATTTTCTATGGCAAGGCAGCTGATCCTGACATTGCCACACAAATGGAACATGGGCTCCCAAGCAAAATCTCTACATCTGTAAGTACCTGTTGAAATGTTGCATTATTACTTCAGTTTCACTGTTAATAATTACAGTACATTTTTAACCCCATTACCTATTTAAGTTTATGGATATAAACAATTGAAAATGAAGCAAATTAGGGATACAGTAGCATAGTATAAACTGATAATCTAGAGGTTTAAACTTATGATTTGGTTTAAACTTATAATTGCAACATAGAAGCTGAGGAATTTGAATGCATTTATATTGCTAAATTTAAAGTTAAAAGCTAGAATCAGTAATGGCAATAAAACTATAAAACCATAAGAAAGAGGATCAGGAGTTGGCTGTTTGGCCTCTTGAGCTGCTCCATCATTCAATAGGATCATGGCTGATCTGACATTCCTCATGTCCACTTTCCTGCCCTTTCCCTGTAACCCTTGATTCCCCTAATCAAGAATCTAACTGTTTCAGCCTTAAATACATACAAAGACCCTGCTCCCATAGCTTTCTGTGGCAAGAAGTTCCAAACATTCTCAACCCTCTAAAAGAAGAAATTCCTCCTAATCTGTGTCTTTCATTGGCACCCCTTTATTCTGAGAATATGCCCTCTGTTCTTAGATGCTCCCATGAAGGGAATCATCCTCTCAGCTTTTATCCTGTCAAGTCCCGTAAGAATCCTTAATGTTTCAATGATGTCACCTCTCATTCTTCCAAACTCCAGTGAGTAGATTCCCAATGTATTTAGCCTTTGCTCATAAAAGAATCCTTCCAAACAAGCGATCATTCTAGTGAACCTTCTCTGAACTGCCTCCAATGGAATGATAGGTCCCCTTAAATAAGGGGACCAAACCTGCTTCACAATACTCCAGATGTGGTCTCACCAGCACCTGGTACAGTTGCTGTTAGACTTCCCTACTCTTATACTTCAAACCCCATCTTCCTTTTTTTTTGTAGATTTTTTCATGGCTTTCTGTTGTTCTTTAAAGAGATCCCCTAGTTTCCCACTAATCTTTGTCACTTTACATCCATTTACCATCAATTTGATACACTCCTTTATTTTCTTAGTTATCCATGGCTGATTATCCCTTTTCCTGCAGTCCTTCCTTTTCACTGGTATATACTTTTGCTAAGCCCTGTGAAAAATCACTTTGAAAGTCCTCCACTGTTCCTCTGTTGACTCACCAGATAGTCTTTGCTCCCAGTCCACCTTGGTCAACTCTTCCTGCATCCCATTGTAGTCTCCTTTGTTTAAGCACAAGACACTGGTATTGGATTTTACCTTTTAACCCTCCAACTGTATTTTAAATTCAACCATACTGTGATCACTCCTTCCGAGAGGATCCCTAGCTATGAGACTGTCAATTATTCCTGTCTCATTGCACAGGACCAGATCTAGGATAGCTTGCTCCCTATGAATTCCATTACATACTGTTCAAGGAAACTATCGGGTACATTCCGTGAACTCTTCCTCAAGGCTGTCTTGACCGACTTGGTTTGACCAATCAATATGAAGATTAAAATCCCCCATGATAATTGCGGTATCATTTTTAATCGCATCAGTTATTTCTTTTTTTTGCCCACCCTGCCGTGATGTTATCATTTGGTGGCCAATAGAATACATCTGTTAGTGACTTGTTCCCCTCACTATTTCTAATTTCCACCCACATTGATTCAACCTTTTTCACCATAGAACCTATATCATCACTCACTACCACCTGATGTCATCCTGACTACTTGGCAGAGTCCTGTATGGACCCATAGAATATTATACCTGGACAGGGTCAGGATAACTTCAAACAGAAAGAATGAGAGGCAGACTACTTATACCCTGTTTCAATAGGAGGCATTATATGATTCTATATGTCTACATATTTAGTATTGCATCTTAAACCACTCTGAAGCTTAATGTTCTGCCCGCAGTGGGATAGAGAACATGATAAGAAAGATTTTGGAAGTGAATTGTTCTCAAGGTGAGCCCCAGCAGGGCAGATGTTAATTTGCAATTTGATGGATCAGCTAAGATCTTGTAAATAATCTCATCAAATTCTGCTTGATTTCTTTCACAAAACCCATTGCTGAAGGGACTATCAGTTGCTGTCAGTAAATTGTCAATGTAACTTGAAGATATTTTACTTCGTATCCCCTAAACTCCTATTGACTGAAGCTATTAACACTGCTTTACCATTCTGATTACAGGTGCTAGGTTTTGAATAGTCAATGGGATTTGCAATTTACACAAAGACAATTGCTTTATCATGTTCCAAATTCAGTTTCATTTGAACCGTTTTTTTGATGTTTTGCCCAGCAGCAAGGAAATTTCACTGGATTCACATCTGTACTACTAAAATGACTTATCACCATTATTCTACATAGAATCACCAGTTACAGTGACCATAATATGTTGTCATCTCTGAATTAAATGCAGTTTGCTTTGATCTTTATTAGTAATGTTTCAACCACTATCCAATACAGCACAAGTAAATTAATCTGTTACTAATACCTTTGTTGTACTGAAGATGTTTGTGACCAGTAGAGTTCCTTCAAACCTTTTGTAATAAAAGCAAGAAACTTTGGACAAGCCTTTAGTTCCAAAAATACTTTGCCCTTAAACTATTATTGTAGGAAGTGACAGTGCCAAAGACACACTCAGTGGTTAGTAAGTTTGGGGATGACACCAAATTGGTGATGTAGTTGAAAGTGAAGAAGGTTAACTAAGATTGCAAAGGGATCTGATCAATTGGGCCAGAGATAGTAGGAACTGCAGATGCTGGAGAATCTGAGATAAAAGGTGTAGAGCTGGATGAACACAGCAGACCAAGCAGCATCAGAGGAGCAGGAAAGCTGACGTTTCGGGCCTAGACCCTTCTTCAGAAATGGGGGAGGGAAAGGAGGTTCTGAAATAAATAGGGAGAGAGGGGGAGACGGGTAGAAGATGGATAAAGGAGAAGATAGGTGGAGAGGAGACAGACAGGTGAAAGAGGCGGGGATGGAGCCAGTAAAGATGAGTGTAGGTGGGGAGTTAGGGAGGGGATAAGTCAGTCCAGGGAGGACGGACAGGTCAAGGGGGCAGGATGAGGCTAGTAGGTAGGAGATGGGGGTTGGGCTTGAGGTGGGAGGAGGGGATAGATGGGAGGAAGGACAGGTTAGGGAGGCAGGGACAAGCTGGGCTGGTTTTGGGATGCGGTTGGGGGAGGGGAGATTTTGAAGCTTGTGAAGTCCACATTGATACCATTGGGCTGCAGAGTTCCCAAGCGAAATATGATGTTCACCTGTACATCTGCTAATGTAGTATACTGTATCCGCTGCTCCCGTTGTGGCCTTCTCTACATCGGGGAAACCAAGCGGACGCTTGGGGACCGCTTTGCGGAACACCTACGCTCGGTTCGCACTAAACAACTGCACGTCACAGTCGCGAACCATTTCAACTCCCCCTCCCATTCCTTAGACGACATGTCCATCCTGGGCCTCCTGCAGTGCCACAACGATGCCACCCGAAGGTTGCCGGAACAGCACCTCATATTTCGCTTGGGAACCCTGCAGCCCAATGGTATCAATGTGGACTTCACAAGCTTCAAAATCTCCCCTCCCCCAACCGCATCCCAAAACCAGCCCAGCTTGTCCCTGCCTCCCTAACCTGTCCTTCCTCCCACCTATACCTTCCTCCCACCTCAAGCCCCACCCCCATCTCCTACCTACTATCCTCATCCTGCCCCCTTGACCTGTCCGTCCTCCCTGGACTGACCTATCCCCTCCCTAACTCCACACCTACACTCACCTTTACTGGCTCCATCCCCGCCTCTTTAACCTGTCTGTCTCCTCTCCACCTATCTTCGCCTTTATCCATCTTCTATCCGCCTCCCCCTCTCTCCCTATATATTTCAGAACCCCCTTCCCCTCCCCCATTTCTGAAGAAGGGTCTAGGCCCGAAACGTCAGCCTTCCTGCTCCTCTGATGCTGCTTGGCCTGCTGTGTTCATTCAGCTCTCTACACCTTTGATCAATTGGGCCAATGAGCTGAGGAACGGCAGATGGAGTTTTAATTTGGATAAATGCAAGGTATACAGTTAATGGTAGGGCCCTGGGTAATGTTGGTGAACAGGGAGACCTAGTGGTTCGGGCATATAGTTATTTGAAGTTTGCGTCACAGATAGACAGGATAGTTAAGAAGGCGTTTAGCATGCTTGCCTACATTGCTCAGATCATGGAGCATAGGAGTTGGGACTACGGGTTGAGGTTGTACAGGACATTGATAAGGCCACTTTTGGAGTACTGTGTACAGTTCTGGTTGCCCTGCTATAGAAAGGATATTATTAAATTGGAGAGAGTTCAGAAAAGATTTACAAGGATGTGATTCGGGGTTTGAGTTATAGGGAAAGACTGGATAGGCTGGGACCTTTTTCACTGGTGCATAGGATGTTGAGGGATGACCTTAGAGAGGTTTATAAGATATTGAGGGGCACAGATAAGGTGAATAGCAAAGGTCTTTTCCCTCGTGTGGCAGCGTTCAAAACCAGGGGCATATTCTTAAGGTGAGAGGAGAAAGATTTAAAAGGGACGCAAGGGGAACCTTTTCACACAGAGGATTGTTCATGTGTGGAATGAACTGCCAGAGGAAGTGGTAGATGCAGATATAGCTACAACATTTAAAAGATATTTGGACATTTGGAATAGGAAAGGGTTAGAGGGATATGGGCCAAATGAAGGCAAGTGGGATTAGTTTAGTTTGGGAAACTTGGTCAGCATGGACGAGTTGGACATAGGGGCCTGTTTCTGTGCTGCATGACTCAATGACTTTATGCCTCCATGTCCATATATTTACTCCACTTTCCATTGGTGATAAGGTTTAACTTCAAAAAGGTTGGTGAAAAATCATACCACCATGCTATATACTTGGTTTCACCCCATTCTTCTCAAAAGTAACTTGATGTACTGGTACTGGAGGGGTTGCAGAGGAGATTCATTGGGTTGATTCCGGAGTTGAGAGGGTTGGCTTATGAGGAGAGACTGAGTACACTGGGATTATATTCATTAGAATTTAGAAGAATGAGAATGAATTTAGAAGAATGAAAAAATTATAGAAACATATAAAATTATGAAGGGAATAGATAAGATAGAAGCAGAGAGGTTGTTTCCACTGGCAGGTGAAACTAGAACAAGAGGGCATAGCCTCAAAATTACAGGACCAGATTTAGGACTGAATTGAGGAGGAACGTCTTCACCTGAAGAGTTGTGAATCTGTGGAATTCCCTGCCCAGTGAAATAGTTGAGGGTTCCTCATTGAATGTTTTTAAGATAGATAATTTTTTGAACAGTATAGGAATTAAGGGTTATGGTGAGAGGGTGGATAAGTGGAGCTGAGGCCACAAAAAGATCAGCCATGGTCTTATCGAATGGCAGAGCGGGCTTGAAGGGCCAAATGGCCTACTCCTGCTCCTGGTTCTTATATTCTTATGACCTTCTTAAACGTAACCTTATTTACAATCTTCTTGAAAGTAATACCAAATGCAAACTTCTGCCCAGGGAAAAAAAACCTTTACCTTCACCTTTAGATAACCTTTCTTTGCTACCATGTTAAATGGTTTTTCCTTACCAGAAACTTTATTTTCATGCATGCAGTGATATAGATCAACCACATGGTGACACTGCTGGCCCCTTTATATAACTCTTTTGAAAACTGGTTAAAATAAATTTACTAAATTAACAATTGACAGCTCCTTACAGAGGCACCATAACAAAAAACAAATTCCAAAGGAGACTTAATAAATTCAAATTAAAATGCCACTTTAGGGATTGATATTCCCTATCGTGCCGCCTGGTCAAGGAAAGCCTCTAATGTGCCAGTGAACATTGTGCTGTCTCTTCACAGACACCCAGGCACAGACGTAACAGTGGTTAGAGAGTCAGGCAGTCAGAGCAAACATAAACCTGACCTTGACCCACTGTCTGAACCTGGTAATAACCATTTTGGCCAGGCCCAGGAACTGACCCACAAGGAGGTTTACAACTTACCCAAGTTCCCAGCTGTTTCTATTATAGGCATTAGAGGAGAAACCCATTCCAAAATTACTGAATAATTAAGGATCACAATGAAAGAAAGATATATGCCATTGCTATCACTAGATAAAGAAGTACCAAGGAAACTGATGGGGCTGAATGTCAAAGATATTAATGGAAGTAGCTGCAGACATAGTGGATACAGTGGGAGTAATCTTCAATGAATCCTTATGTCCTGGAAAAATCCCAGAGGATTGGAAAACCGCCAAAGTAACATCTTTATTTAAGAAGGGAAGGAAACAAAAAAAAAACATGTAGCTATAAGCTGGAGAGACAGTTGGCTAAAGAGACGCATTTTCAGGATGGCAACCTGTAACTAATGGGGCCACAATTATTTATAGTGTACATTAATAACTTTAATGAGGAAAATAGGTGGAAAGACAAGTGATGAGAATAGCTCAAAGAGTCTATGAGGTGATGTGATTAATGTTGAATCAGCCATGAATTTAGTGAATAGGGTGGAAGCTGAAGGGTCCAAACGACCTACTCTTGATCCTGTTTGTTAAGGTCTTATGGTTATACTCTGGTCTGCAGAGGCTTATAGCATAGATGCTGGAAAGTTGGATGCTGCTTTCTCTCCACGGATGCTGCCAGACTTGCTGGGTTTTTCCAGCAAATTCTGTTTTAGTTTCTGATATGCCTGTGTGTTTACTTTGAGATGAAATGTGATAACATAAATGTCTTAAACATGTTTAAGCTTGCTATTAGGTTGTGGTACTGTACAGTGTATGGTTTGGAGATGACAATAGTAATCTACATTTAAAACAAAGTTCAGAGCAAAACTTTTAGTTTAAAACCTGGCTTAGGACTGAGTTTTTATTATATTACAGATGTTCCATGTTGGAACTAATGATATAGATATAAATGTTGAGGTTGTCAAGCAGCATTTTAGGAGCTTCGAAGAAAATCAAGGAACAAGTCATTGAAGGCAATTATCTTCTGACTGTGCTAGTGCCACATGCTAATGAGTATAGAAGCGAGTAGATAGTGCAACTAAATTCACTGATTGCATTGTGGTACAGCAGGGAGGGTTTCATATTCTTGGAGTGTTAGAACATGTTCCAAGCAGAGGCACCTTCCCAAAGTAGATGAATGGTCCCTGCATGGAGCTGGGACCAATGGTGTCAAAGAGAAGTTAACTCTCCTTTGGGAAGGTTTACACTAATTTGCTGAGGGATAGCCAACTAGAAAAGAATAAAGGAGCCACAGTGAGATCAAAGGACAGAGAAACAGATACAATATATGTTTTCAAACATCCCAAACTTTGTATAAACCCAGTTGAAGAAAATAGCAAGGTGACAAAAGTAATGATCTGCTTGACTTGAGGTAAATCTGATTATTTTGAGCGGGCATTACTGGAAACGCCAATAAGAGGTGAAGGAAAGATTGTGGATCTGGTTAGGGAAACTGGAAGGGGTGGGGGGTTACACAAGGAGGGGACATCATCTTGAGGTAACTAGGGATTCCTCCACAGGAGGTGACTTTTCATGCCTGCCTGTAGTCCCTGCAGTGAAAGCTATCGGCCTGCTCCTTATGTCCCATCCCCCACCTTGAACTTTTGTTGATCTCCTCACTGCAGCCTCGTACGACTGAATTCCTCCCAAGTTATCTCACAGATTAAAATATTGTGGTGGAGGTGGAATGAAGCCCTTAATTGGTAGATAATTGTCTACTTAAGGCTTCTACAGGCCTTATGGTGAGTGGGATGCCTGATGCATACAACGCCCCATGATATTAGAGATGACCTCTGGGTGTGTATGGAGGAGGGTTGGTTGTACAGGGAATTAGCAGACTGCCACGTGCTCAATTTTACAAGCCCCCTTCAAATACCTGTGCAGGAGGCCATAAAATTCACCTAGAATGGAGGACCAAATCAAATACATTAATGTTGTAATATTATTTCAAAACGCATGACTCGTAGTCGATTGTTAGATTTTAGTAATTAATGAGCAGGTAAAAATAATAGTCTACACCAATGATGGAGCATAAGCAGCAGTTAATAAAATGGCAATTAATCTATTTGTTATTGGGTTTTGGCTGAGAAAAATTGTAGACAATAACACCAGGAAACATTCCCTTGTTTTTCCCAAATAGTGTCATGTGATTTTTATTGTGCACCAGGCCAAGAAAATTGGGACCTCGGTTTTAGAATAGTATTCTGGTAATGTAGCACGCCCTCAGTACCACACTGGGCATCAACTTAGATTGTGTTTGGAAACATATAGGGGTTTGATTGACATGGGCAATGGGGCGATGTGTGGCATATTCAGGGGAGAAGTCCAAAAAGGCACATCTCAACATCAAGATCTTCTCACCCCCATCTCTTATGCCTTTCACAAGTTGTGTAATGTGATTTCCATCAGGCAGCGGCAATTTGCTAACTAATGGTGATTAACACTTATTACGGACCTTTTGAGGGCCCAACTCTCTTCATTAATAAAACAAAGAACTGTAGCTGCTGGAGATCTGAAACAAACAAAAGCAGAAATTGCTGAAGAAACTCAGAAGAGTCTGAAGAAGTCATTGGACTCAAAAGGTTAACTTTGTTTTCTCTTCACAGATGCTGCCAGGCCTCCAGAATTTCCTGAGTTGTTTCACCTCACTAATAGTTTGGTTGCAATCTTACAAACTTACCCAACAAACTAACCATCAGGAAAACCTGATGTAGAAATCACTGTAGGTGTTTGATGGACTGAGCTTGCCACTTGCTGTGAAGGACTTCCATGTTGGGCACTCGGCACCAAATCTCAGGGCATGATGACTGGGCACTGGCCACACACACACACCCCATACCAAAAAGCATTGGCATCCAAGATGTGCCACCCTCTGAGAACCTTCAGGGCATATTTCTGATCCTGTCACAGGATGCTTCTGCACTTTGGTGCTGTACCAGCAACTATCACTGTGGTGCTGCAGCAAGGACATTGTGCGCTCAGGCCACACCACCCAGGCTGCATCTCTGGGCTTTTGGCTTTTTTTCAAAGCGCTCACTCATTCTGAGCCTACCTGGATGCTCTCAGCAAGCCTGCCTTGCCCTTTCACACTTGGCCCCTTCAGCCAAAGCAACAACATATTACTGCCGTTTTTATGTGCCTTTTAATACAGCAACAAAGCCAAGAAACTTGCCATAGTTGCCAGCAGGCCTCAGTCAAGTCAAAGGGGATCTAAGGAGTTAAGGGGATCCATGCACAGTAATCAAGGGCAGCCTCGGATACCAGTCCTGGGTCTTCTCACAGCAATCAGAGTCAGGAACCGCTTAAGGGGTGAGAAACTGAATGTCGGGCAGCACATGACTTGTGGTCTTGACTCTTTCTGCGCTGTTGGGGGCTGTTTTCCTCCTGGAATGAGAGAGAGAGAGGGGGGAGCGCAGGTATTACAGGAGATGAAAGTGAGTAGCACAGCTGTTATTGGCGTAGGTGGGGTGGTGTCCTGAGTCAATGAGTAAGCGGTGCAGAGGCCATGCAGGCTTAGCGGTGTCAGGGATTGAGATGGATGAGGCTGAGTGAGAAAGGTGTTGAAGGCAATTTTGAAAATGGAAGAGCAATTCTGGGATACCTGGTCAGTGTTGAGTTGTTCTGGGAAAGGTGCATCGTGAGAGGGGGCAGAAATCAGACATGATACATATCATAGGGGTAGGAGCATCAATTAACGTCACGAATTTGGTACAATTTGGTGAGAAAGCCCACTTGGTCTCACACTGAGAGTCCTTTCAACAAAAATCTGTAAGATTCAACCCTATGTTATTTGTATGGTCTCAAATTCATTACTGTGGACGCAGAAATAGTGCTGGCAAACAAACTGAATTGCACATGGAACCCCTGATGTGCAAAACCTATTAGAATGTAGTCATCCAGCAAGACTAGGAATCGGGAATAGACAAGGAGATCATTCATTTAACTTTAGTATATTGTAATAGCTTTTTATTTCATTTTAACGTTTAGGCTGCATCATTGTTAAATCCACCACTGAGGACTCGAGTTCAGCAAATATTTTTCGACAAAATTACTGCAGCATATCCAAGTAATCAGCGGGGTCCACTGGGAAAATCGCATGATCAATCAAAAGGTTTACCGAAAGGGATGGATATATATAATACCACGTTTGGCAGAAAAGGAGTTAAGGGTACGAATGATTGCAATAAAGAAACAGCAAACAGACAAAAGATTTGACAACCTAAAATTACATTTAACTCCTAAAACCTCTCAGCATGTATTAGATAGAAGGTAGAATTTTAAAGGGGTTTCAGGAATGTAGACAAGAGTGTGTAGACAGGCAAATCTTTTAAACTGGCAAGACAAGTTGAGTTGTTAAAAAGGCATTAGGAACCACTTTATCCAAATAAGAGTTCAGAGTATAAAAGCAAGCAAGTTATGTGAAACCAGTAGTTAGAACCAGCTGGATTATTGTGCCCAAATCTAGACACCATACCAGGCACTATGTCAAAATGGAGAAGATGTAGAGGAGATTTATTAGGCTGGAACTAGGAACGTGGCATTTCTGCTCCCTTCAGCAGCTGGCTTTCTGGAGCCCTGGACAACACAGCCTGCAGGTATTAAATTCAAATTGATGGCAATTTACAATCTAAATTCAATATTATATTTACTGACCAGCCACTTGAGTGGCCACTGGGGGCTAGTGAGAATTCAGATTAGCCTCATTGACTCTTTGTTGGAGCACAATGTGTGATCACTATTCTCTAGTACCTCATCCCTTTTTCCATTATTATTCATTCACGTCTCCAGTGCACACTTTAGGCTAAAGGCATGATGCAGGAGTTAAACAAAGCCCAAGCACACTCCATCTCCTTCACTGTATGACTTCTGTTCTCGTTTAACTCTATCACTCATACTACTCAGAAGTCTGGACAGATACAACAGTTAGAGGAAATTTTGCATGTGTCCCGACAATTAACTGTCATAGAACCAGCAGGGATGTCACAGCTGAGTGCGATTGTGTCTTCATTGCACACTGGGCATGGATCACTCAACATTTAGGACAATAACACTGATAGTTATGTTTCCTCTTCCTAAAATGAGGGACACTGGGATCAATGATAACAACTCTGATTAGACAGGTAATTGAACTTGGGATGTCCCTGGCATCTATAGCTAAGCAACTCACTCTATAGATATGTTGAGTCACTGAAGAAAAGTCTTATTTTCTAATTAATTTATGGAATGTGGGCATTGCTGGCCAGGCCAACATTTGTTGGCCAGAAGGCAGTTGAGTGTCAACCACATTGCTGTAGGTTGGGAGTCACATATAGGCCAGACCAGGTAAAGATGGCAGTTTCCTTTCCTAAGGACATTAACGAACCAGATTGTTTTTCCTGACAATTATGGTCATCATTCCAGATTTAATTTTTATTGAATTCAAATTCCACCATCTTCTATTGTGGCATTCAAACCCTGGTTCCCCAGAAGATTATGTGGGTTGCTGGATTTATAGTCTAGCGATAATACCACTAGGCCTTCACCTCCTTATAATTGAAATTTGAAGAAAGGTGTATAGGTTTTGCTTGACCCAGCGAAAGAAAATCAGGAATGCCTTGGGATAATTTGTTGGCTGTTTATTCACTCATTCCTATTTGAAACTCTTATTTATTATAAGTGCCTAAAGCTAAATCATTATATTAATAGCAAAAAGAATCACTCACTCCTCAATAAAGAACATTGCCCTTTGTCCCTATGAGCACCCACTCCATGACCAGTCTTCATTTATTATAAAAACTGGTTAATAGGGTTTTGTGACCCAAGCTCACATCCAACTCTCCCACAAATTCTTCTCAAATTCCTTTCTCCTTTTTGCAACCCAGTGAGACTGTGAAATCCCTTGACTTAGTTAAAGAAGTGAAAGTAATATATAAATGCAAGGTATTGTAAAAGGCAGCACCTTTTCAACACCTGCAACAAAGATAGGCAAAAACTACTCCCTAACTAGCAATGCCAATGTGCCATGAAACAATAGAAAAAACTCCTTAAATACTGTAAGAAAGCGCTAGCTTTGTTTGATGTTCAATTAGCTTCAGCCCATAGTCTTTTGACTCAGACACTGTTGCCAACGGCAAAAACTGATACTTAATTTGATAGCTATAGATTAATAAATATTTGAATGTTAAATGCGTGCAGTATTTATTTTGTGTACTTAACACTTAATTAGAATTTGACTTCTTAAGGCAATATTGAAAATATGATTTCAGACATCACTGCTGGACAGCTTATAAATCCACCAAAGACTCGACGACAAATTTATGAAGAATCACAGGCAGGACATTCTCTTTATGTCACGTCACACAACGCTTACAATGTTGGTAAGGAAACGCAGAATTGAATTGTAATTTCCAAAACCAGGTGGGCTGGGGTTTTGTCAGAGGCTAAAATGCAAAAAACACCTAGTGCAGGAATCAAACTGCCTCTATTCCACTCAATTTGGTGTCTAATGCAGGATGGAAGAGGTTATCCTACTCATGGGAAGCAAGTTAGTTATTCAAATTTTATAATGCGGCTTCATGCCTTCATTTTAAGTCATTGTGTTTTTGACCATGTGCAGCCGTTCTTCCTTGACCTCAGGATACTTGGGAAATTAAGGAAGGTGAGAGAAACTCAATCCATTTGTAAGTGTCTCTATGGCACTGCTTGTGGACCAGTAGGAGCAGGAATGCTTCTTCCAGGTCCAACAAGCTAACTCAGCAAATTTATCCTGTGATCCTGACCCACTTAAAATCCAAACCCATCAGATAATTTCTCGCCCTGTCTGACCTACTTGCTTCCATAGATTTTGACCTTGTGAAGCAGGCTTCCCACCCAAAACGTGTCATTCAGGCTGCCAACGTGCAGGAACATCACCTAAACAAACCATGCAGTTAAATTCTGCAGGACATCTGGAAAGCTGCTCTTACAGGTTTCCCAACTTCAAAGCAACACTCAAAACAGGAAAAGCTTTCATTCAATCTAAAACCCAGTCTATGATTTTTGTAAGTAATATACATTTGCACTAAATTCAATTCCATGTGTCCTACCGCACCAATTTAAATCCAGTAGCAATTCATATTAGAAGATGATAGAAACACACATGTATGAGAGAGGGATTTTAATGTCGATTGCTCAGAAGCAACTAGGGTTAGATTCATTCTTTTATTGGCCAGACTTTAACTTTAACATAATCTCCAGTAAGCAGGTTGCCTTTTTGAATGTACCATGGGCTGAAATCTTGACTGACCAAATAGAGGGGCCTGCAGCAACACCTTACATAGAAGAGAAATATGAATTGGCAACAAGTTGCACGGTATTTGAGAAGCGTTAGCAGCTTGTGTACAGAGACTATATCAGAAAATGAAGTAAAGGTGGAACTCTTCAAGTTTCAAAACATCATATGGCAGTAATGAAAAATATATCCCATCCATATTTCCCTGCTCCAGGTTGGGATAATTTTAAATTTCACTAAAAAGCAACCTCCTATGATGCTGCTTGGCCTGCTGTGTTCATCCAGTCCTGCACCTTGTTGTCCCAACTTGGTAAACGTATGGTTGTTGGGTAGAAGCAACAACCAATGATGATATTCTGTGAGACTGAGATAGAAGTGATTTTGGAGATTCTAATTACTTCAACTGATCCCTAATTAGCATAGGTACAAGAGTCTCTTGTCTGTTCCTAATATGAGATCTGGCAGTTTGGATTGAAGTCTACTTGAAAATCAGTTAAGTTGTAATTCAGTGTTATGTTGGTGTGACTAAACATATTATTACTTTGGCTTTGCTACCATTCCATTTGTAAGCACAAATAGGATGATGGCACCATGAAAATCTCCAGAGATTTCCCTTCATTTGGTTCTGCCTGGGCAACAAGCATCACATATTAAATTGAGTTTTATATTACAGTGGATAATCAATAAACATAAAATATTAGACAGCCTTATAAAATTGATAAGTAATATTTGATAGAGTAAATATAATAACATTAGTAAACATGCACAGTGAGATAGTTTATGATTGATTCCTTTATTGCCTTCCATTTCTGGAGTATTTTACTTCCCCTTCACATTATCCACCATTTCTTATTTGCTTCTAAGCACTAAATTTAGGTGCTTTTTGATTTGTGTTTTTGGAATAGTTTTGAGCCATGTATGTTGTTGGACAGTCACATTTTTAAGGACTGACATATAGAGTATTAAACAACAGGAACTGATTCTATTGAAAATGTATTTACTCTGATAAGACCATTAAAAAGTGGTTAGCTGCAATAGGAGCATTTGTCGTCAGTTTTCCTCTCCATCAAACATGCAAGTTGTTTTCGTCTACAATCATCTCGGAAAGTCATTGAAGTAAGCTGGAGCTGCTCAGTATACCAACTGGATTCTTAAAAATTCACATTTGTATGCTGGCCTGCAATTTTTAAAACCTGGGCAAATTTACTAATACTGCTTCAGACAAGTGACCCCATTGTCTAAATTAAGTGATTAAAGAAACACAATTTCACTATTCATCTATAAGCATGGCACTGTTTCCATGCAGATTCTGGGGTTCTGTATTTGCCACTCCAATCCATTTGTTTTCACTTTATTTGCAAATAAAACATTAGGCAAATCTATTATTAAGCAATATACAGCTAAATGAGAAACCAAATATATTTCTTTGTGCTGCTGTTTGCTTAATTTACAGACCATTTGGCAGACACATCAAAACTCATTTAAACCAATAGACACCTTATTGTCTAATGTAAAAACATGCTGGGAATTACTCTGTGGTTTAAAGTATTGGCGAAGATCTGTAGCTCGGGTTCTGGATGAGATTGTTGACTTGCTTACCGAACATCAGCTAGGAGCAAAATGGCACGATGAACTCTCCTTAATATCGGTACATTCAGACAACAAAGGCCATCAGTTTAACTGGGACAAAGTAACCATAGTAGCCCAAACCAAACATAGACACACACGGGAATTCCTAGAGGCATGGTTCTCCACCCATACTTCAATCAACAAACATATAGAATTGAACGCTATATATAAACCCATACAGATCAAAACCGGAAATGACACTATTCGACATAATGGACCAGACAGTGTAAATTCCAAGCGGAGTAGAATAACGTCGCTTCATCAGAGGCTCCACTGATGATGTCACCTAGCATGGTGATGAAACGTCTGAACAAAAACAAGCCAGCTCGGTGAGCAAGTCAACAACTTCATTACTCTGTGGTCTGCCCAGTCAGCCACTGTAATTGTAACTTTGATAGAAGATTGACAGAAAGCCTGCATACCTTGCATAAGCAAAGTTTTAGTTCAAGCTTTAAAAGGCACTACATTGCCCACATCAATCTCTGAGAGGCAGAAATCCTTGTGCATTGCTACGTGCCTGCTGCTAGAGCTTTAAAGAAAGGCTGTGTGGCACTATGTGGGAAGAAAATCTTTTGCTCAATGTTCCTTAACTTAGCCGTTTTAGATTGTAGCCAGTTTATTTCATATAGCATGACAGATGAGCTACATTCAAGATATAAAAAAGGACAAAAATAATTGTCAGTGGTAGGCACACAAACATAAATTGAGCCATATATGTCAAAGATAGGCTGTGTTCATCCAGCTCTACACCGTGTTATCTCAGATTCTCCAGCATTGGCAGTTCTACTATCTCCATATATGTCAAAAGCTGTTTTATTCAATTGTACATTTGCTAATAATATTTTAAAATAACGTTTTTTTGTGATTGTGTGATATACCTATTTCTTTCATTTGACAAAAGTATTTCCTGAATTATTTAATTCTAAATTCTCAGTCTATAGCAAACTATACAACTGGAATTAAGAGGTTTATTCAGAATGTCAGCAATTGTTTAGTGGTGATGCAAGAATTTATAAGGAGATATGTAATAGTGGTCATAATTTATATTGTTTTTGTGAACTATTTTCATAGGGGAACAAAGGGACAGAAAATATGATTGGTCAAGACACAGCAAATACAGTGTATTTGGAGTAGAGACTCCTCACTTTAGTGATGGAAGATTAACAGCAAAATCGTTACACTGGTCACCTGATGTACAACAGTGAGTATCTGTTCTAAAGACCAGCTATAGCACCATCTTGTTTCTCTTCTGTTCAATAAAAGACAATAAAATCAGACTGCTTTATAACTTTACTGCCAGACTTTCCTAGCTATGGATTTCTCATACCGTAGTAATTTCACAACTAGACATTTGCATCTATGGGTACTATTTCTAAGTTTAATAAAGGATTTGACTGTTGTTTAGAATTTTTTTTGGTACTTGTCTGACACATCTCCATTGACCTCAAATAGAAATCCCACCTCATTGGACCTCAGTTCAGTAAACAACATAATTCATATGGCCATATCGTCTACATTTATGCATCAAAGATTAATCAGAAAGTTCACACACTGGACATGACCCTTGACTTTACGCAAACTTGTCAATTTGCTATTGGTTATGCTTTCAAGGAAACACTAGATCAATCAGCAGCCACATTAATAAGCATTTTACCATGAAAATCTCATCAGACAGTTTAAATGTAAGAAAATAGTATTGCATGGGCATTGGAACTGGTAGTCCCTACAAAAATTGCTGACCTACTGGGCAACAGTCACAATTAGGCATTCATGTTGACCATCTGTTACTTTGCTGAATGTGGAGTAGGGCTTGTTATATAGGTAATCTTCTCCTGCCCATCATTTTAAAATGTTTACGTGTTCTTAGTTTAATTAACTTGTGATACCTCCTTCCTATATTTTGTTTAAACAAGAAATCTCTCACTAAAATGTTCACTATGAATATTACTTCTTTTTAATAAAGACGAAATTCTGCAAAGATCATATCAAAAAAGGTTGATGACTTTAGAGAAAAAACGCAACATCAAGTTGGAAAAGTCTTTGATCCGTAAGTCAAACTTAAGTTTTGAAAGCATGATTTCAATATAGTTCATATATTTGTCCTCAGGTACTTTACATTTATTTAGGAAAAATGCTCCCCAGTACTGCCCTTGACACAAAAGTAAATAGATGTGGTGGACTTCCAGCAAAAATAGTAATGGAAGGTTTTTATTTGTCTTTTTTCTCAGAATTGTTAAGAGGAAATCTGACTATGAGAAATACATGTGAGAAAGATCTTTCCAAAACCTTTAGCCTATCTATCCAAAAAAATCCAGGAGTGTCACTTTTCTCTAGGTTACTTTGTCTTGTAGCTACATTTTCCATCTGTTGGTGATAGATGGGTATTGCATGAAGAACTATGTTAGTCTTTTCAACTTTAAACAGACTATTTCAAGTGAAACTTTTGGACTAATGCCTAAGAAATAACCATGATGAAGAATTGTATTAGGCGCTCGATTGAGTTAAAATAAAGTCGCTTAAAGAATATGCATACCATTTCTATGTAGTGACTCCTGTCTAGTGACTCCAGTTCACACAATGCAGTTGTCTCTCAATGCCCTTGGAAATGACCTGACAAGCCACCTGGGTGTAAACAATCACTACAGAGTTCAACAATAAGAACATTCAGCTTCCAATTTACTCCCCTCTCTGTTTTCCATCTCTCCCTCCCTTTTGGTGTTATTGCATTCCCTTTAATGGGCTCCACACATGGATTGAACAATCGGAAACATGGTTGATTTAATGCTAGCGGTCAATAGGCAAGAATTTCCACGGGTGATTTGGTGCTGGGAAAAGCCATTGGTTGTGTATGATAGCACTTCCAGGGATAAGAAAAAAGAGGAAAAATGAAAATTTGACAAATAGTTGTTCATATTTGAACAGGACTGGTCCTTTTGGTCCTCTCCCTCTATTATTTCTCATGATTTTCTATGTCCACAATGTTAAAGATTACTTTCAGGAGTCTCCAAGCAAAACAAAAAATACAAAACAAACTTCGTATGACAAGCTTCATTACCCAACACTAAGAATAGCTATGTTGTACCATCATTGGCTAAGACAGCTGAATCTTGTAGGACATAGCTACTAGACTACATTTATTGGCTAGTGAGAGAATTAACGTGAGTTACTTTGTTTGATCATGTCCTCAAAGGTTTATCTGGAGCAGTTTCATCCATATTCACATTGTTAGATCAAAGTCATCTCATTTCCACTGTGAGGGCACTCTTCATAATGTAATATAGTGCAAATGCTGTCATTTTAGATTAAAAACAGATATCACTCAAAAGCAAAGATCTGTAAGGTATTATGGGCCACCAACTGCTGCTAAATCGTATACCCTCACAATATAGTGTATGATGATATATCCAGAACAAGGTATGAATCTAGTGAAGGTACAAGGGGCCATCAGGCTACAGACAGTGCTAAGTACTTACATAACAAATAGATTAGACAAATTTTTATAGTCTTATTATTTTTTGCTGTGAACGTTAATGAATGAACTTGGCAAATAATAGTAGTTTCCTTGAACATCTCTATTTGCAACTATGGTGGAGCTCAGCATATTGGTAAAAAATGTGTTTATAAATGTCCTGACTCAAAAATGCAGGAGGACAACCCTAATTTTCCCTGCTGTCAAGGTAACTACCGTCATGAATAATTATGTCCAAGAGACTGAGTCATTCCATTAGACAAAATATGGCTGGACTCAACAAAGATGAAGGCCTTCTAGATGTGGTGCCAAAGACCTGCCACCTCCTTAACAAAACAATTCTGATGTTGCTTTGACACTATCATCTACCTGATAATGTGGAATTTACTCTGGTAAGTACCATCTTCAAAAAATAGGACAGATCTAACTAGATTCATAACCACCCTCTAAGCTTCATTTTTAAAACTCTGTCACAGGATGAGGGCATCACTGGGCCAGCATTTACTGCCCATCCCACTTTGGTGATGTAGGACCTTCTTAAACTGCAGCAGTTCATTTGCAGTAGATATATCTACAATGCCATTAGGTTGGGAGTTGCAGGATTTTGCAGATGCGGAAGGGACAGGTGATATATTTCCAAGTCATTATGGTGATTATTAATGATCAATAAAATGATGAAAAGAGCCACAGGCAGTACTGTTAAACTGGATGTTAGAAAACGCAGCACATCAGTGCAAAAGAGAAGGCTGGAATATTGGGAAGCATCTTGGTGGCACGGTGGCTCAGTGGTTAGCACTGCAGCCTCACAGCACCAGGGACGCGGGGTCGATTCCAGCCTTGGGCGAATGTCTGTGTGGAATTTGCACATTCTCCCCTTGTCTGCGTGGGTTTCCTCTGGGTGCTCCGGTTTCCTCCCATAGTCCAAAGATGTGCAGGCTAGGTGGATTGGCCATGCTAAATTGCCCGTAGTGTTCAGGGGTGTGTGGGTTATAGGGGGATGGGTCTGGGTGGGATGCTCCAAGGGTCAGTGTGGACTTGTTGGGCCGAAGGACCTGTTTCCGCACTGTAGGGACTCTATGATTCATCTTCGACCTTTGATCCATCTTGGCTTGTTCCATTGCAGATACTAGAATTTAGCCAATTCAGTTCACACCAAGTGATATCAAGAAATGACTGAAAGCACTTGATTCTGCAAAAGCTATGGACCCTGACAATATTTCAGCAATTGTACAGAAGATCTGTGCTGCACTTCTAGTCAAGCTGTTTCAGCATAGTTACAACACTTGCATCTATTCGGCAATGTGGAAAATTGCCCAAGCATGCCCTGTATACAGAAGGATGGACAAATGCAATGCAGCTAATTATTACCCCCTTAGTCTCAATTATCTCAACTCTCAATTATCGCTGTCATCAACAGTGCAATCAGGTAGGATGTGCAAAGGAACAAGCTGCTCACTAACACTCAGTTTAGGTTCCATCAGAGCTGCTCAGTTTTTGACTTCATTAGTGCCTTGGTCCAAACATGAACAAGAGCGGAATTAAAAAGGGGAAATAAGGATAAATTATCTTTAATTAGTAGGCAGCATTTGACCAAGTGTGACATCTAGGAAAATCAGCAAAACTGGAGTGAATGGGAATTGGGGAACACTTTTTGTTGGTTGGAGTCATTCCTAACAAAAGAAGATGGTTGTGGTTGTTTGAGGTCCACCTTCTGAAACACAGCACATCCCTGCAGGAGTTTGTCTGTGTAGTGGCCTAGGCCCAACCATCTTCAGCTGTTTCATCAATGACCTTCCCTCCATCATAATGTCAGAAATGGGATGTTCATTGATGTTTGCACAATGTTCAACACCATTCACACCTCCTTAGATACTGAGCAATTTTTATACAAATGCAGCAAGACCTGAACAATAACGTGGCTTTGATCATGTGTGGTGTGAATGTTATTTACCATTTAAGTGCCAAGCAATGCCCATTTCCAACAAGAGGGAATCTAACCATCGCCATTTAATATTAAATGGCATTATTCTGGCTGAATCCCCCATTTCCAATATCCCAGGGGCTACCATTGACCAGAACTGAACTAGACCAACTATTAAGATACTGTGGCTGCAAGACCATGTAAGAGGCTGGTAATTCTGCAGCAACAAACTCAACTTCTGACTCCTCAAAGCCTGTCCACCATCTACAAGTCAGGAGTGTGATGGAATACTCTTCACCTGCCTGGATGAGTGGAGTTCCAACAACATTCAAGAAAATCCGTACATCCAGGACAAAGTAGCCTGAATGATTGGTACTCCTTTGACATGTTTAACATTTATTCTGTCCTTCCCTCATGCTCATGTGCATACCACGCAATACATCAATTCACCAAGGCTCCTTAGACAACACCTTGCAAACCTCTACCATCTAGAAGGACAAGGAAAGCAAGTTACATAGGAATACCACCACCTGCAGGTTCCCCTCCAAGCCACTCTCTATCCTAATTTGGAAATATATCGTTGTTCCTTCAGTATTACCGGGTTGAAATCCTGAAACTTCCTTTTTAATAGCGTTGTGGGTGCGCCTACGCCACATAGATTGCAGCACTTCAGTAAAGCAGCTCAAGACTACTTTCTGACGAACAACTAGGGATGGGCAATAAATGCTGATGCCACACACGTGTGCGAATGAAGAATGGATAAATGATGAACTAACCCATTCCAAACTAGATAACATTCAAACTTGGACTGACATGTGACAAATGACATTTATGAAAATTATCAGGTAACAAACAACTTGAATGGGAGAAAGCCCACATACCGCGCATTATTATTATTATTATTATTCAATTGTACTACCATTGCTGAGTCTATTATCAACAACATTCAAGGAGGATAATGTGGGTGATACCACGCCAGCAGCCGAACCTGAACAACTATATCAACTGCATGGGTAGACATGAAGGACAGAAACTTGGTACATTTTAGTGAGAGATTATTTCTTCTCACCCTCAAACTGTCACCCACCAACAAATTAAAGTCAGGACTGTGATGGAATATTTAATCAAACAGTTGCTTGGTAATACAGAACTTGAATATTGCTAAAAAGTGAGACATGTTGCCAATATATTTTGTCTGACAATAACTGGGATGAATGTAAGAAAACCAAAGTTCAAATGATCACTATTGGAGAAAGGGGGCTGATTCAGACTCTGATTGGGCAAGGTGTTGTCATGGAGAAAAGAGTAGGGAACTATGTTCTCAAATCCCCAAGTTTCCTAGTAATACCTGGACTTACAAAGAGCATTTTATAAAGGACCACATATTAGCCTTGATTGTGATTTTATTTACATGTATACCCAAGTACAAAAGTACAGGATTACAGTGAAAAGTGTATAATGTCACCACACAAGGTTCCATCTTCAGTACGAGTACCTCATAGAACATAGAACAGTACAGCATAGTACAGGCCCTTCGGCCCACAATGTTGTGCCGAACTTTTACCCGAAACCTAAAGTCTATCTAACCTCCACCGCTACCTTATACTATCATCCATATGCCTATATAATAGCCGCTTAAATGCCCCTAATGAGGCTG